AAAAAAAAAATTGCCATTGTTCCCACCACCCTTCCCACTACTTTTGATAGACATCAAGGTGAAACTTCTCATATGTGAGTAACCAAAGAGGAAGACAAATGACATTTAGTCATATACTGCTAAAATCTAATAGGTCAGCAGCTAGCATATAATTTTCTTATTTTGTTTATAAGAGGTAGGATGTATTAAATATTTTATAGGATGAGGATTGACTGTACTTGGAAGAAAAGCTTTCATAATATGATTTGATAAATATTGTATGCCAACTGAAATAAATCATGTAAAAATTTAATCTGCTGGTTTTATTCAAAGTGAGTTGAAGTATTGGTAATCAGGGTATTACAATATGAATTAAAAGAATCAGCATCATTAGCTTGTACTGCTACAGCTTTGAAAAAAAGGTTCCATCTCAGCCAAAGATATGTATAGGAAAAAGAGCCCTTATCTTTCATTCATTCTGAATTACCTACATATGAAATGATATGATATCTAGGACATACAAAATCATAAGGGAGTGGTGAGAATTGCACTTTATCCCTGTGGTCTTCCTCCTAAAACCTGTAACCACAGTCTAATAATGAGATAAACATCAGACAAATCCCAATAGAGGGATATTTTGCAAATATATCTTGAGGAGTACACCTCAAAACTACCAATGTCATCAAAACCAAGGAAAATCTGAGAAACTGTCACAGACCAGAAGAGATTAAGGAAACATGAGAACTCAATGTAATGTGGTATTCTGGATGGGATCCTGGAAGAGAAAAAGGACAGTAGGAGAAAACAAATGAAATCCAAATAAATTATGGAGTTGTTAATAATACTATACTGAAGTTAGTTCTTTGTGACAGTAGGGGGTAAAAAGCACAGAATATGTGAGAATTATATACTATCTTTTGCAGTTAGTAAATCTAAGGATAGTCTAAATTTTTTAAGATAACAATGGAGAGGGAAGAGTAGATGGGGTGTGTAGTTGGGAGGCAAATGGCTGCACGTTGATGACTACTGACACTATGTAATGGAAGCTATGTAATGCATTATACTATTCTGTCTACATGTGTATATGTTCAAAATTCTCTATTACAAAAAGGTAAAAAATATATATATATATACACATATATTGTGTTGGGGGTCCTCAAAACCATCCTCAAGTTTGATGATCTGCTAGGAGGACTTACAGGACTCAGCACAGAATCTTATTCAGAGCTGTGATTTATTACAGTGAAAGAACAGAGAATAAGTTCAGCAAAGGGAAAAGGCACACAGGCCAAAGTCCAGAGGAGACAAACACAAGCTTCCTAGAATCCTCTCCCCATGGAGTTACATAGAATGTGCTTAAATCCTCCCTAGCCTCAAACTGTGATGACACACATGTCACATCTACCAAGTAAGCTCATCACAGAAGCCCAGTTTTTACTGGGGGCTGGTCACATAGGTATCCTCTACCTAGGACACATCAAGATTCTAGATTCTCAGAAGATAGTCAGCATAACCCACATTGTTTGTACAAACATTTTAGGCACAGTGAGCCAGACTTATCATTTAAGGCAAGTGACACATCAGTGTTCGGAACCGTTTACCAATTTTCTGAATGCCAGCCAAGGCCAGCCTTGTAAGCGGACCTTTGTAAGGATAGCAATCTCAGATATACACACACACACACACAGAAGCATATAACTCTCTGGGACATAGCACAGAGATGTTTCATAACTCACACTCTCCTTCTGTTGTGGAAGGTATCCTCACAACTCTCACTTGAAGACCTCATCTATAACTCTCGTCCAGAAGTGCATGTCTGAAGAAGGAGAAACGGGCCTGTGAGGCATGGAGGGCTGAGAAAGAAAGTCCCAAGTTCTTAGTGGTCACAGCTGCAACAGCCTGGAACTCTGCACTCTTGTTCTTTGCTTTTTTCCTTCTGTACATGGCACTTCAGTTCTGAGAAATCTACCCTGAGTATATAAGGGATGTTAGGAAAAATAGGAAAGAGAAGAATGAGGCCTTTTGAGAGGATACGGCAGAATCTGGCCAGCTGACTACTTCTGTGGATCCATTCTTAGGCACAAGGATTGTGAATATCATAAAGAATGTTGAGTTTGGTGCTCCTAAAATACACAGAAGTGATGTCCAGTAGGCAGGCAGATTCTGGAGCTGGTGAAGTGGTGAGGGATACAGGGCTGGCAAGTGCCCCCATCCCCTTCAAATTACGTTAATACATACAATTTCAGATACACTATAGTATACTAGCAATGAGTATTTTTGTTAAACCTTGTAAATATCTTATGAATTGTGTGTGTGTGTGCGCTAGAGAGAAAAGAATTACTATAACTTCTGTCACCCATTTGGCATTAAGAAAAAGAAACTAATATGCTGGTAGCCTCTTAAAATGGAAATAACCCAGGCTTAATACCTTGGAGGGCTGGTAAAGTGTACTGGTTGGTGATAACAGTTTGGAAGTACCCAGATGTTTACTGAAGCTAAGGGGATGAAGGGGGTCACCAAAAACTGTTATGGGGAATGAGGGCTCTGGACCAGACATTAAGGGACTCACTGAAGAAGAGGCACCTACAAAGGGGGCTAACCAGGAATGGCCGAAGAGATAAAACCACAAAGTGAAATTAAATCGGGGAAAGGTCACCAAAGAGGGGGTGTAAGTCCGGGCAGAGGAAACCCCAGGCCAAAATACCTCTAAAAACCAAAATCAGTCAAAGGGAGAAATAAAGTCTAAAATTCATTTATTTCTTACAAACTGCAGTCCAGAGCCCCCTCTTTTCTGCTCCAGCAGCAGCAAAACCAGCCTTCCCCTCACCTCTCAGTTACAGATAAGCCCTCCTTGCCCAGGTAATCACCCATTGATATGGAGATGAACTTCTCTCCACCCCTGAGGAATGATGCAAATGCACTAAAGCCATACTTCTTTCCACTTATGAACATCTACTGATATGCAGATGTACTAAAGCCAGGTGAGATATTCTGGAAATATTACAATTTTACCCACAGGCCACCCCTCCAGAAATCTCACCTTACAATTTACTCATTTCCCCCTCTTCTGACCAATCTAGTAACATACAATAGCAACAGCGATAAAATCTTGATAATCCTCAAACCAGAGGATTCAGCCTATGCAGATTAAGTAAATGTACTTTACAGCACAATCTCTCACTAAGCACAAAATGTTTCTACACTTGTTTACTCATTCCTAACCATGCTAGATTGCTCATAAAACTTTTACCAAACATTAGACAAAGTCAAGCCTCTCTTTAAGCATTTTTTTCTTGACAACAGCAACACAATCATGATAATTTTCAAGCCAGAGAATTCAGCTAGGTTCAAAGTCCCATGCAGATTAAGTCCAAAGCTCATCCATTCCAGCCATCACATGGCAGTTGCAGCCAGGGGGCGCATCCAGGACACAAGGACTGTAGAAGCAAATAACCATGATTGTGGGGGGTCACTTTGCAGTTATCCCAGGAATACACAGGAGGCCAGCTTCCAGGCCTTTTCCCCAATGTGCCAGAAGAGCGAGCCATCATCAGTCCATGTGTTGAAATGCCCAGGGCCACATCCATTTTATTCCTAATTACTGCACCCATCCCTGCAACGCATGTCCAATAAAGGGGGTGCCTTGATCGCTCTCAATCACCGGCAACCGGCCATAGGCTGCAAAGAGATGCTCTAAGCCCCTCTTGGTAGTTTGCTGATCTGCACAACATGCGGGGCACTCCTTCCAGGCTGGGCCAACTTCTTCAAAGGTCAATGGCAAGCCACACCAACGGGTCCACATTGTCTTTTGTCCTGCATGCAACAAATGCTGATGTAGCCATTGGGCCACATCAGAGGGAGGCTTGCTTTCTAGCCAGTGCACCTGGGCCAGTCACATGATATACAGTAGGTGTCTGTGCTACACCACTTCATGCCTTTGGGTCCAGTTTCTCACCCACCCCATGACCCCACGATGGGATAGGTCATTATTACCTTGGTCGGAGTTGTTCTAACGATGTCTCCATAGCCAGCAAGGTATGGTACATAGCAGCAAGTTGCTTTGCTATCAAGGTTACCCAGACCTCTGCTCCTTTCCATAATTGTGACCAGGCTCCGGCTGGCAGCAGGAGCAGCAGCAGTGATAGAAGCAGTAGCCTTAGGCTTGGGCCACAGGCCAGGGTCACCACAGCCAGCAGGAGTGGTGGCGCCTCCATAACCACATGAGTGTAGACACATGTCCATCAGCGTGAGTGCCACTTCTCCCCATCATTTCCTGGGGCAGCCCTCCCAAAGGTCGCACCCATCATGACAGATTTCGGGTTCAGGGGAATCCTGCCGACTATGCCAGATATAAGTCTAGGCAGAGGAAATCCTGGGGCAAAATTTCTCTAACCACTGAAATTAGTCAAAGGGAGAAAAAGTTTAAAACCCGTTTATTGCTTATAAAAGTGCAGTCAGGCCCACCTCTCTCCTGCTCCAGCAGCAGCAGCAAAACCGGCCCTCCCCTCACCTCCCAGTTAGATAAGCCCTCCTTGCCCAGGTAATCACCCATTGATATGGAGATGAACTTCTCTCCACCCCTGGGGAATGATGCAAATGCACCACTAAAGCCATACTTCTTTCCACCTCTGAATGCCTATTGATATGCAGATACACTAAAGCCAGGCGAGATATTCTGGAAATATTACAATTTCACCGATAGGGGGCAAGGAAAAGCAGGACTCAAGCCAAGAGTGCATTTAAGGGAGGAATTCAGGAATTCAACAGTGTCACATATTTCACTGATTTGCCCGGCCAGCACCGACCAGAATAACTGCCGTCTCCCCGGCTCTCCGGTACTTTTTACACGTCTCCTTTGACTTCTTCACCGTTTACCCCGTGGTTTAATTTCCTCCAATTAGACGGCGCAAGCAGGGGATCTGAATCTTACTCGTTTTTTTTTCCACAGAGCCTTATACCTACTGCTCAATTAGTTACAGTGGAATGATCCGCAGAATACTTGGAGACCGAACGAAGATGCAACCTTCTCAGTAGTTCCACAAACCAAATTTCCCAAGACACAGCCACATTGCGCAAGCGCAGAGACCACGCCCCGCGCCCGCCCCGACAAGCACGCAACCGGCTTTCCTCGGAAGGTCTTTGCATTTGGCGCGAAATCCCCGCTCTGTGGGCGGGGCTGAGGGAGAAGCCGCGCTCATTGGGCAGGTTTAGCGCGAAATCCCAAAACTCCCGCACCACTATTGGCTCCGGCCGTCCCTTGGCCGAGGAGGCGGGGCGGGGGCGTCGCGCGCAAAGAGCAGTGTTCGTGGAGAAGCGACTCGTGGCTGTCGAGCCCGGCGGCTGTGGCCTCTCTTCGCTGGTCAACGATGGACCTCGCGGCGTCAGCGGAGCCGGGCGCCGGCAGCCAGCACTCGGAAGTCCGCGACGAGGTGGCCGAGAAGTGCCAGAAACTGTTCCTGGACTTTCTGGAGGAGTAAGTCGGCAGATGCCCCTCTCTCGCGGAACTGCCCCGAGCGCCCCTCCCGCTGCCTAGCCGCGGCTTCCCGAACCGCACACCCGCGGATCTCTGGGCCGGGAGGGCCGGAGGCTGCGCGAGCTGGGAACGAGCGGCTCACTCTCCGCTTGGGCTTGGCCGGGCCGCTGCGAGGAGTCTGGGTGGGTCCGCCCGGGCTTCCAGGGATAAATTCCACCTCGAGCCTTTCCTCTACCTCGGTGCCCGGTGCTGAGCGGTTCACTCCCGTCCTCCGTTCCTCACCATCTGTAAGGCCTGTGGTTTTATCGCTCCCGGGTACCTGAGCGGAAACTGGCCGCTGGGTCACGTGAAATCCTCGCGGAATCCTGATTGGGCCAGGGGCCAGCCGGCTGGGGGCTGACCCGGCAGCCCTGGAGCCTGTGGACAGGAAAGTGCTAGAGTGAACGCTGGCCCAATCAGGTGCCGGAGAGCTGTACGCTCTTAGGAGAGCTGTACGCTCTTAGGCGTCGCCGAACATAGCCCTTCCTTCCTTTCCGCCCAGTCCCCCTTCCCCACTTTGTTTTCCCAGTTGCCTTCTAGCCTCCTGGTCTCATAACCCCCCTTCCTGGCTTTGCACCACTGCCACCAGTCACTTTTCTTAGTGCATATGTATCGCTGCTGTCCCTTGTGCCTCCATGATGAAGTGTGAACACTTTGGAATGTCCTATGAATTTCTTTTTTTTTCCAATCGTGTTATAATTACCATTTTAGCCTTTTTAAGTGAAGAGTTAAGTGGCATTAATTATATATTCACCTATTTATGCAACCAAACCACCTTCTATCTCCAGAACGCTTTTCATCTTCCCAAAAGGAAACTCTGCACCCACTGAACAATCACTTCACATTCCTTTCCCCAGCCCCTGGCAACCACCATTCTACTTTCCATGAATTTGACTACTCCAGGTACTGCATGTACTTGGAGTCACACAGTATTTGTCCTTTAGTGACCAGCTTGTTTCACTTAGCGTAATGTCAAGGTTCATCCATGTTGTAGCAGGTGCCAGAGTTTACTTTTTAAAGCTGAATAATATTTAATTGTATGTATACACGACATTTTGTCCATCCACGAACATTTGGATTGTTTCCATACTTTTACTATAGTGAATATTCTGCTCTTAGGACATTCTGATATACATAAAACCCAAATTTAATGTATATTCCCCTAACTTTGGAAATGTTCTCTCTGCCTGACAGCTATTCATCCTTCAAAGCCCAACCAAAGATTCACACCTCCTTTGTGAAACCCTGTCAGACAACCTAACCTTTCAGACAGCACCAATCCTTTCTTCCTATATGTTCCCACGGTGCCATTTTCCATTATCGCTGGTAATATATCTTCACCTGTTGGCTGCTGCTTCTTGAATATAAATCCATCCTTACCTCCACCTAGCAACCACACCACATTACAAAGGTCCTCAATTAATGTTTTATTTCAGTAAGTAATATATTCACCTTCACTGCCTTATAGTGCACTATGCAGCTACACGCTGGGGATAATGATGAACAAGACAAATAATCACTACTTTATTGGGAAAAAATGTTAAGTCCCTCCCAAAATACCGTCTTTGATTTGCCATTGCTTAAAGTCCAAATTCTTCACAGCTCCTCTTTCCATTTTCATCTTACACATCCAACCTGTTATCAGTCACACTCCATCCATACTTTTTCTGACTGCCCACATATTTGAGAACATTAAAGCAGTCTATCCACCACAGATTTTACTTCATATTTTAAAAGTATCTCAAGGCTGAATTCCAGTGCCACCTTTTATGTGCATGAAACCTTTCTCAATGTTTCTGTTAGACAGAATTAAGTTATATTCCCCTATCACATTTCTGGTAGTCCTTCTTTTTTTTCCCCCTTTTAAATTTTGTTTTGGAAAGAACACTTAACATGAGATCTACCCTCTTAACACATTTTTAACTGTCCAATATATTACTGTTGACTATAGGTACAGTGTTGTGAAGTAGATCTCTTAGAACTTGTTCATCTTCCTGGACTGAAACTTTATGCCTGTTCATTAGTACCTCTACATTTCCCTCTTCCTCTAGCCTGTGGAAACCATCATTTCACTCTTTGATTCTATGAGTTTGACTATTTCAGATAACTCATAAGTAAAATAATGCAATACTTGTCTTCCTGTAATTCACTTATTTCACTTAGCATAATCTCAGGATTTATCTACGTTGACAAATATTGCAGAATTTCCTTTTTAAGGCTGAATAATATTCCATGGTATGTGTGTATCACATTTCATTTATTCATTTGTCATAGACATTTAGGTTTCCTTGTACGTCTAGTATGAATGTTCCTATGAAAGTGTCAACCCTAGGGCAGAAATAACACACTGTCATTTTCAGCTTCAGATAACTCTGGCATAGTGTTTTGCAGATAGACATTATTCAGCAAATATTTAACATAATTAGAACATGCTGTACTTGAAGTGGGAATCAATGTTGCCTCAAAATTAATCTACACATTATGTAAAAAAACCCAAAAGCAAATTTGTTTTGTGATCCTTTTGGAAAAAAACATACCAGAATTATTTCATGTATATATATATTTTTGTTATCCTGACATCTTAGCCAGTGAAGTGCCATTTGTTTTTATTGTGGTTTATAAATCAACAATCTGTCAGTTTTCCATATAGAAATTGAATCTTTAGGTTTTAACCTGAATTTCTTGATTTAACATTTCCCAATCTTAATTATACATTATAACAATAAAAGAATAGTAAGTGTTTGTTGATTAGAAAATTCAGCTCAAAACCTGAAGACCTAGTTTTTCTATGTTCTGGGCTTTGCCCAAAGCATTTTACAGGTATTCGCTCATTTAATCTTCACAGTAGTCTCATGAAGTAGGTAGGTGATGTCCTGATCTTTTTATTTACTGCCAAAAGGAGAGGAAGGTTTAGAGGGGATAAGTAATTTGCGTCAAGTTACACACCTACTAAAATGGATCTAACTCTTTAAAGGAGATGCTCTTTAATCAATACACTGAATTATCAGGTATTCGGATTCTTCTTTTTTTTGTGTGTGTGTGTATCAAAGTGATTTATCAGGAGACATTCCCAGGAAAAACCAGTAAGGACTAGGGAAGTGGGCATTGGAGGGGAAAGATCACAAGTAAGAGTGCAGTGTCATGAAAAATCCCACGGTAGGTAAGGCTTCTTCAGAGTTATCCTAACTGAAGCAAAAGGGCCTGAGTGTTTATATCCCAGCACCTGAAATCACTGGTTAAGGGTTTTATTGGATGAACACAAGTGCCTGGGTACTTCAGGAGCTCCATATGTTTAGGCAAAACAAACTTGGGCAGCCTGAGGACTGCCAGCTAACAGAGTCTCAGTTGCTGGTTGTTCTGAACCTCAGTGGGAGACAGTGTACTTGAAAATGGTAGTGGATTGAAGGGGATGTGGGCAGAGCACTGACAGAACCTTCTGCAGAGAGGATGGCACTCCTAAGTTCCCTGTTGCCTGAAAAATAGGGATATTGTCATTGCTTCTTAGTATGGTCCTTGCTTTTTATTCCACTGCCCACCCCAATTCCTTTCCACCTTCACAGAACCATTTCCATTATCTTAAATGTACCATGTTGTTATGTGTAGTCTTGCCTTTGTGTATGGCTTTCCCTTTCTGGAATGCTCTTTGTTTGGCTGATAACTCTTGCTCCATCCTTTACCCCCTACTCAGGCTTTACCTTCTATATGAAGTCTTCCTGAACTGAACCTGGAAGAATGGCAGTCGTTTGATCATAAAACTATAACACCTTCGGTCTCTAACATAAGGCATAGCCCACTGGATTACAAATTTTTTTTTTTTTTTGAGAGGGCATCTCTCATATTTATTGATCAAATGGTTGTTAACAACAATAAAATTCTGTATAGGGGACTCAATGCACAGTCATTAATCAACCCCAAGCCTATTTCTCAACAGTCTCCAATCTTCTGAAGCATAACGAACAAGTTCTTACATAGTGAATAAGTTCTTACATGGTGAACATTGCAAGGACAGTCATATCACAGAAACTTTCAGTTTTGATCACGCATCATGAACTATGAACAATCAAGTCAGATATGATTATTCGTTTGATTTTTATACTTGATTTATATGTGAATCCCACATTTCTCCCTTGTTATTATTATTATTATTTTTTTAATAAAATGTTGAAGTGGTAGGTAGATGCAAGATAAAGGTAGAAAACATAATTTAGTGCTGTAAGAGGGCAAATGTAGATGATCAGGTCTGTGCCTATAGACTAAATATTAATCCGAGCTAGACAAGGGCAACAAAACATCCACGGATGCAGAAGATTTCTCTCAAAACAGGGGCGGATTCTTCTTTTTAATGCCTAATTCTTCTATTTAATCTGACTTGTACGTATCTGCAGGTTCCAGAACAGTGATGGAGAAATTAAGTATTTGCAATTAGCAGAGGAGCTAATTCGTCCTGAAAGAAACACATTGGTTGTGAGTTTTGTGGACCTGGAGCAATTTAACCAGCAGCTTTCTACCACCATTCAAGAGGAGTTCTACAGGTACAGTGTATTAATCATTTTTACTTTAAATAGGCATAGAGCCTGGGAGGCCCACTCTTCTTGAACTGGAAGTGTTCATTTCTAAGGCAAAAGGGTAGCTGTCACAGAGGCTCATTGATACATCCAGTGATTACTTTAATACCTCTGAACTGATTTAAGCCTTTGTGAAGCTGAATATTTTCACATGCAAATGTTAAAAGCCTTTGCTTTCCATATACTTTTTGGAGGATCACCTCCTTTTTGGTAGGCATTCAGTGCTATTGCTATGTCATTCATTTGGTCTGCTCCCTCACCCATCCCAGTAGGTATTTTGAGAAAGTTTGTAAACGTCTTTATAGCAATGACATTGTTGTTCTCTTTAAGTTTAATTTTTTTCTGATTATAAAAGTGATGTGTATTATTACAGAAAATTTAGAAAATAGAGAAAAGCAGGGAGAGTAAAATAATCTGTACATTTATTATCTCACCACCCATTGATAACAACCATCATTAGAAGGTCTGTTGCAGCAAAGTTCTAAAAACCTTCCTGGTCTGCAAGTACAGTTTCCTAAAGATCTTCTGACAAATTTTGGAATATTTCTGTATATATGTAATTATTGGGATCACACCATAGAACATCCTGTTCACTTAATAGTATAATATATTTTCCCCCATCATGTAAAAGTCTCTAGAAAACATTTTAATAGCTCCATGGTGGGGTTTTTTTTGGCAGAAATTAAACACAACATTTAATAATTTAGGGTTTCATTTTGTTTTTGATTGCTATATAAAGAAAGAAACATCTTTTTATACAAATCTTTGCATTTGCATTAAATATGACTATATAGCAAAATCAAGTTAAAATAACATTGTGGACAGTTGTGAACGAGAAATAGAGATCCATGAGTAAGAACAAGTAGTCCTTTCCTTTACCTGGTAGACTGGCAGATGGAGGACTTGCCTGAATGTTTCTAGTCATATCTGACTATCAAGAATGGTTGGAAGGTTAAGCAGCTGAGTTTATTGTGAAAATATGCAGGAAGAAAAGTTGTACTGACAAGCGAGAGGGAGGTAGAAAATCAGGGCTGATGATAGAAGAGTCTATATGCACAGGCCATGCAGTAGTTCTGTTACCTGAAAGTAGCTAATTTTTCAGAGGACTTCAGGATCCCACTGATAAACCAAACCAAACAGCAGCAGCTTCTAGGAACTTACATTAGGAGGTCATGCATACTTCAGTCTAACCAGCCAAATGGAACATTTCTGCCAGCTTGCTCTCACTTAAGTATGCAGAGTCTTCCTGTGCCCTCATCTGTTTCTTATTAATCAGGAATTAAATCTGGAAAAATATGCTAGGTCTTGACAGCAGATGGGAGGCTGCCTGGCTAGATTGTAAACTGCTGAGGTATATTCATCTTGCACAGGAAGTGGCCTGCAGTGTGGGTGCAAAATGATTATTTAAAGACAATAAATATTTAGGTCCAGCATTTTATCTTTAGTGTTTCCGTTATCTTAGATCTATTTGTGGTGGAGTAGGAGAGAATTAAAAGAGACTCCTAAACCTAGACTAGATAACAGGAGTGTCCTGCATAGTTCAATTCTAAGGCTTTGTTGGCCGATGAATTCTTAGTCTCAGTTAAGCATGAAGGGGAATAAAGCTTTTGTAAGCTGCTTGAAGATACCAGTTCATATACTTTGTTTTCTTTTCAGAGTTTATCCTTACCTATGTCGGGCCTTGAAAACCTTCATCAAAGACCGTAAAGAGATCCCCTTTGCCAAGGATTTTTATGTTGCATTCCAAGACCTACCTACCAGACACAAGTAAGAAACCCTTCTTTGAAAAAAAAGAATTCACCAAATAGTATGGGTGCTACTTAATTGTCAGAAAATTCAAGAGGTTGTAATCTTAGGTCTGTAAAGAATTACACCCAGTTATACAGAAAGTTTAGTTTTGGATAAATATATTTTTCTAGGGAAATGGAATGGGAAGTAAGTTAAGCAATTTCAGTATTTTAGGGCACCTTTTAGAGGACCTTTGGGGGGAAAATTAGTTGAAAATATGAAAACTGAGAACAGTCACAAATTTGTGAATCTTTGATAATTTTTGTCAGAGCTTCAATGGCATGACTTTTAAATAGTTTTCCCCTTCAGTTATTTTTATTTATTTTTTTTAGGGTATTTTTTTTATTTTGTTATCATTAATCTACAATTCCCTTCAGTTATTTAAAGAATAAATTTACTGGAAGAAATTGAAGTGATGTTTTGAAAACTTAAACTACTGAAATTACTTATAAAATTACCAAGTTTTTTAATGTAAAATGGGTTTGTAACATAAAGTAAGGATTTCTAAACTTAGGAGTATAATGATTTTTTCCCGATAACTTTACTATGAAAAGTAACACATGCTTATTTAAAAATTGTAGGTAAATTAAAAGTATATTTGCATATGAAACAAAAAGAGGATCATTCTGCTTTGTAATTATGATTTGATTTCTTTGTCCTTATTTTTTCATATTGATTTATATATTTTATTGTGAATGCATGTACATTGTATAATTTAGGAATGGGAACGTTGACTAAATCATTCTTGTAGGAGAGTCCAAAAAATACTTTTTCTCTCATGTACATGTGTGTCTTTAAGCATAAATAATCATTGAAACCCTTTCATTGAAACAGATAAAATTTCTCAGTGTGGATATGAATGGTCACTAATGGGACATCTGTTTTACAGAATTCGAGAACTCACCTCATCCAGAATTGGTTTGCTCACTCGCATCAGTGGGCAGGTGGTACGGACTCACCCGGTTCATCCAGAGCTCGTGAGTGGAACTTTCCTATGCCTGGACTGTCAGACAGTGATCAAGGATGTAGAACAGCAGTTCAAATACACACAGCCAAACATCTGCCGAAATCCAGTTTGTGCCAACAGAAGGAGATTCCTGCTGGATACAAATAAGTCTAGATTTGTTGACTTTCAAAAGGTATTTATCAACTTCTATTTAGGTCAGATGCAGCCTATACTAATAATACACTTCTAGGTACTTGCAACTGTTTTGATAAGCTTCTTTAGGCAATGTTAAACCCAGTTTTCATGTACATCAAGGGTCATCAAATTTGACTACAGATTTTTTTTTTTTTGCTTAAACTTTTTTTATTTGAAAAATGTACTTAAAAGTTCAACAAATTTTTAACATATATTATGACTCTTAAACCCACTCCCATCACTCTAAATATTGTTAAAGTGATGGTAGCATATGCAGTAGGAAAGCTAAAGGTGAGAGAGCACCAAAGCAAAGACTGTATCCAAAGAAATAGGCATTAGAATAATAGATCAGGATGAGCAGAGATGGCAGGAGTCCCCTGTCTGTCTACCCTATCCTGTTAACCCTTTAGATCTAGTATAACCCTCAGGTTAGTAAGCTACTCTAGGGCAACTAGCTAGCCTGGAACTAACAGCAAATTGGGAATGTATTTATTTTTATTTTTATTTTTATTTTATTTTATTTTTGGGGGGAATGTATTTCTATGACAAATTTAGACCCAGAAAAACTGCAAGAAATAGACTGAAATTTGAAAAAATTAGAACTTGTCACTGTAGGTGGGGGCAAACTGGATGGATAGTGGAATAAGCAGAGTGGACCCTAAGTTCCCACATTCCTGACTCCCACTACAATCAAACAGGACATTTCCTATTACCGAGCTAATTAGACACCCATCCCCTAACCTTTCAGTCTCAGAGCCAAAGGGAGTTCATCTGATCTGCCTTGCTAATCACCCTGCCAGGAAGAGGCCCGAACAAAAAATACCTGAGAAAACAAAGTGCCTAAAGACCCTGATCCTACGTTACTTTCCCACCTAAAGCAGATTCTTCAGCCAGCCCTGGAGTGGGACCTGGTCTTCAGACAAATCTCCCTGAGTCTTATTTGTGTCTGGTTCTAGGAGTAGGGCACAGAAATAGCACTTAAAATTTCAGAGACCAAGCTGGGCTGTCTGCACAGTACTGCTTTTCTTTCCTACCTTTCCCATTTTCACCATACCCTGTTCATGCCTCCAGACTGCAGGAACCCCTCCCCCAGAGAGCAAGAATGGAGCATACACCTCCGTCACAAAGACGTGAACCCATTCACACATGTGTAACATGGTATTGTTTAGAGATTATGTGCAGCCCTGCTGAGCCTAGTTTACAAGGAGACCTGGTTCATCCATGGCTCAGGTTTAGGATGAATAATGGCATGTGTGTGAGGTGGAGAAATCACTCAGGAGAAAAATATCCTGACTCCAGAGCAGTGGCTCTCAACTGAGGGTGACTTTACCCTCTTGGGGACATTTAGGTTGTCATAACTAGAGTGGGCTGGGGATGCTGCTAAACACCCTGTAATGCACAGGACAGACCCTACTACAAAAGTTACTCAGACTAAAATGTCAAGAATGCCTAGGTTGAGAAACTCAGCTCTATGGGTCTCTCTGCTCCATACTGTGAGGATTTTAAGATTCCCTAGACTCACAGATGATGGTTTTCAACCTATTGTTCTCACCACTCTCTCATCCTCAATGGTCAGGAAGTCCACACTGAGACATAATTCCTAGCTTTGCTGCACCCGGTGTCTTCCAGAGCCCTCTTCCTCCTCTCACCTGGACGAGCAGGAAGGTTGGCAGAGGGCAGGCCAGGTTTCTAAGACTTAAATGGAATGTCATCAGGTTAAGATATCTCTCACCTTAACTCTTATTTGGTGGGAAACAATAAGGTTCCTAACAGGGATGGGGTTAAACAATGGGATGGGGGTAATTAAGAAAAACACACCTTAAGTTAATTAACTAATTTTTAAAAAGATGTTGGGGAGCTTGCAATTCTACAGAAACAGGCATAACAAGAGAAAGACCCTGGTATTGGTAGAGAGATATGGACAGACTGAGCTTCAGCTCTGAGCTAAAGAGAGAGAACAGACTAGGCAGTAGTCACCCACCCAGCCTCTGCCTAACATGTGCTTCAGGTCAAGGGCAGGGAGGCAAGGAGCTCCTCAGCAAATTCATCTTCAGCTTTGATAATTTCACCCACCAGCCCTATATAAGGAGTTCCAGGTTAAAAGTTTAAAAACAGATGGCACCTAGACCATCATTCAGGAGAAGGGACCTCATTCCAGGTTCCCAAAAAACTCCTATCTCAGATCTGAGTGTCCAGGGCTTTAGCTGAGCTCCTCTGGCCAACCACTTTGACTACAGATTTAAACAAAAAATTTATAATGGAAATTTCAAGACATAAATGTGTTTTAACCTTTAATAATTTGGACTGGAATCTCCTTCAGACTGACAAAGTGTATTTGTCAAAGAATAAACAGTAGCCATTATTACGATTATTAACTAGAGTTGATGAAAGTTTGGAGGAGTAGAAACTTGTCGATATAAGACTTTAAGTTGGTGCTTAGGGAGGAAGTCATGAATAAAAGGAAAGTCAAAAATGGACATGTTTGTTTTATTAAAAATAAAAATAATAATAATAGAGGGAGAAATGTGGGATCAACATATAAATCAAGTACAAAAATCAAATGAATATTCATATTTGACCTGATTGTTTATAGGTCATAATGCGTGATCAAAACCGAAAGTTTCTGTGATGAATGCCCTTGTACTGTTCACCATGTAAGAATTTATTCACTATGTAAGAATTCGTTCACCATGTAAGAACTTGTTCATTATGCTTCAGAAGATTGGAGACTGACGAGAATTAGGCTTGAGATGGATTAATGATTGTACATTGAGCATTGACCCCCCTATACTGAATTTTATTGTTGTTAACAACCGTTTGATCAATAAATATGAGAGATGCCCTCTCAAAAAAAAAAAAAAATGGACATGTTTGTCAACAGCAGTGAGGATTATCATGGTTGAAGGAGATGAGCCAAATCGGAGATCATCTGAAAGATGAGTTGGTAGGAGGAATGGAGGTACTTGGAGTCTTAGATTGAAAAGTTTGGACCTATCTTGATAAGCAAGGGGAATATATTTTCAAAGGGGTGTGCATTTCTTTTTAAAGGAAGACTAATGGGTCAGTGGTATGTAGTATTTAACAAGAAACTAATAATTAGTCAGATGATGTTACCTGGGTGCAAGGTGGGTAATAGCCATAAGAATTGAGGGTTGAGGGGAATGTTTCAGATTCTACAGAATTTATTGACTCTGGGATATGCAAAGAGAAAAGAAAAGTTGGAGCAGCTAAAGCACTGCAAGCAGGGAGGAATGAGCACCAGACTGAAATAAATAATGTTTAGTTTTAGTCTTACTAGGTTTTCTTATACTAATTTGATACTTAGTTTATAAGGAGCACACACTATATGGACAAATTTGGGTTCTTAAGAGATACTTTATATTTGAAAGAATATAACAACCAAATACAAAGTATGAATCCAGACTGGATCTAGGTTTCAGGAAAAAAAAGTGTAATAAAGGACATTCTCGATAATTGGGGAAATTTGAAGATAGACTAGATAATAGAAGATATTACAAAATTGAACATTTAATTCTCTTGGCTTGGTAATAGTATTGTTACATGAGAGATTATCTTAGTAAATGAGTGCTGAAATATTTAGGGGCAAAGTATCAATCAAGTGAAAATCAATTTATAACTTTTTTCAAATAACATGGTAAAAATGCATTTGTCTAAGTAATATTAACAGTTGAATTGAGGTGGAAAGTATAAAATAGGTGAAATTTTTCATAAAATTTAGAAGGTGGAATACAACATATAACTGCATAGTCAATGTGAACAAAGGAAAAAGAAATGACTTCTTAATGAAAGTGTAAGTGAAGTTTTTAGATCTTACCAAATTGAGTTTTAGGATAGAAAATTAAGATGAATGTTGGCACATGTCAAAAGTCTGCAAACAGTAAGATAGTTTAGAATATGCCAGTATTCGTGGCATTTGATTTAGGTTGTGTGACATTTAAAGAGATTGCTTATCACTGTTGGCCATTTATTTGTCTTTGTTGCAGGTCCGTATTCAAGAGACTCAAGCTGAGCTTCCTCGAGGGAGTATCCCCCGCAGTTTAGAGGTGATCCTGAGGGCTGAAGCTGTGGAGTCAGCTCAAGCTGGTGATAAGTGTGACTTTACAGGGACACTGATTGTTGTGCCTGACATCTCAAAGCTTAGCACACCAGGTGGGTAATCTGTGGCTTAAAATTAACAAGTTCTCAGTTACCTGAACTGCAGAATATCTAGCTTCTTGAATCCTCTATGTTTAACTTTTGGCTACTAGTTAGAGAGTAAGAAGGAAGTATGATGAGAATGAAGACAAATCAATTTTGCTACAAAAGGTACTACTGTTCTGAAAAATTGCAAAGCCTAAGTGAAAGTTTTTAATTTATAGTTTTCATTTATTTAAGTAGTTTTGATTTTCACTGCCTTTTGTAGTTGAGCTGTGAAACAACCTATCATTCAATCTTTTAGGAGCCCGTGCAGAAACTAATTCCCGTGTCAGTGGTGTTGATGGATACGAGACAGAAGGCATTCGAGGACTCCGGGCCCTTGGTGTTAGGGACCTTTCATACAGGCTGGTTTTCCTTGCCTGCTCTGTTGCACCAACCAACCCAAGGGTGAGTCTTCTTAACAGAAGGTCAGAGTTTGAAAAAGACCTCCCCTGAGCCTGCCAGAGTTACAAGCTTCTCAAACTTGAGTTATCTGGCAAGTGTTAAAGGCAAGGGGTTGGGTTGAGATTTGATTCTTTAGTTTTAAATCCAAATTTTCATGTCTATTTTTCTGAAATTGAAAGAAAGTCTTGCTTATTTTCATTGATGAGAGCTCAGTACTTTAAGAGCCTTGTTAAAATTATCCATGGTGGGTTTTTTTCTGCTTATTTATTTACTTTCTAATTATCACAGTTCCTCTGTTGTGCTCCCGGAGAAAGTACAAACAGAAAGATTCAGTAATCTGGGAAGTAAATAAGTTGCTGTTTCTGACAGTGATGAACCCTGGTATTAATTGTTCAGAACTTGATTCTGTCCTGAATGGAAAAGTGGTGAGAGAGAGTCTGATATAGTCCAGTATTGGAAAAAGAATAATACTCTGTTATTTCATTTTCATCTTCATGTCAGTGATTAACATTTTATTACGGCATTCAGATTCATTTAGATAGCAATACAAAATGGTGGTACCTTTTTTTGCTCTTTAATTCACTAGACAAATCATACTCGTCAGCATCTTGATTAATTTAGGCCTTACTAATTTGAGATTTGATTGATTGATTGATTGATTGATCTTTATAGTCAGTAGCTTCTGATGTTGATCTCCCAGGATATGCTTTGTTTATACTAAAGTTCATTCTCTTCTGCATTGTTTTGACTTTTCTATACTCATGTTTTTTCCTTTCTTCGCCCTTCAGTTTGGAGGGAAAGAGCTTCGAGATGAAGAGCAGACAGCTGAGAGCATTAAGAACCAAATGACTGTGAAGGAGTGGGAGAAAGTGTTTGAAATGAGTCAAGATAAAAACCTATACCACAATCTTTGTACCAGCCTGTTTCCTACTATACATGGTAAGGGTTCTATCCATTTGTGGTATAAACTTGAAATTAAAATGATGATTAAAAAACTGATTTCTTAAAGTATACAAATCAAATTATGAAAAATTTTTAGTAGGTTAGAAGTCATTTAAAAGTCATTTACAAAAGGACAAAAAATATATGATTCCACTTAAAATGCAGTAAATTCCTAGAGACATAAGGTAGAAGAAGGTTACCTGTGTCACAGGGGACTGGGGATGTTTTATGGGTAGATTTCTGTTTGGAAGGATGAAAAGTTCTAGGAAAGGGTGGGGTGATGTTTATAAGATAGTGAATGTACTTAATTCCACTGAACTATACACTTAAATATGGTTGAAATGATAAATTTTATGTATATTTTACCTTTTTCTTTTTTTTAAAGAAAAAGAAGGTCATTTAGTCTTCCTTTGTCTTTAGGGCAGAACTACACTTAAGTATATTCCAATATCCTAGATTAGTGTCTATCCTCTTTTAATTATCAAATAAGGCAATTACATGCTATTTCTCGGTTACGTGTACTGTATCCATATACCTTTGGTGATTCCTTCTTTCATGCTTTCTTGGCTCTTGGTTGCTAGCTGCTCAGTCATTAAAATCCCCTTCATGTACTGAAGGATACAACTCCATTTTCAGACCATACTTTACTCTTCTTTTTATGCTGCTGCACTTCCCTTATAATTACTCTATTGCTGTGTAACACATTAACCCAAAACTTAGTAGCTTAAAACAACAAACATTATCTCATCCAGTGTGGGTCAGGAATTTGAGAGAGCCTTAGGTGGTTCTGGTTCAGTCTTGAGATGGCAGCCAAGCTATCAGTTGGCAGTCATCTGCAGGCCTGACTGGGGCTGAAGGTCCCACTTCCCAGAGAGCTCACTCATAGAGCTTACTATTAGATGCAATTGTTAGCTGGAAGCCTCATTTCCTTGCTGCACGAATCGCTTCCATGGGGCTGTTTGAGAGCTCTCACAACAAAGCAGCTGTCTTCCTCCAGAGCATGTGATCCAAGAGAGCAAAGCAAGGAGGAAGCAAAGTGCTTCTCAGGACACAGACTCAGAAGTTAGGCACCTTCACTTGTACCATAAGTCATTAGTTGTTGGAAGCAGGTTACTAAGTTCAGCTACACTTAAGGAGAGAATTAAGCTCTTTAAATGAGGAGTATCAAATGATTTGGAGATTAGAAACTACCATATTTCCAACACATTTATTTCATAGGTCATGAGTCCAGTTTTGTTTGTGGAATGGATTTTTAATTTTCTACTTTAAAGGAGTAGTTTATGTAAATGTGCCTAGCACTTGTTGATGGAGTTTACAGAAAGTCAAAATAATTAGCAGAAATATTTTTTAATAGCACATTTCTAAGATTCAGTTTTGTTTTTATCTTTAATTGTGCATTTCCTTCTTATACTGAAATAATCAGCAGTTCTTAGAAGCAGCCGTGAATCACAATCAGCATATTAATCTAATCCACATCAGTTCAGTTAGCGTGTATGTGTATTCAGCACTGGTCACTGTTGGAGATACAAAAGAAGTTAGCTATAGACCATTTCCTCAAACTCCATAGAACTGCAGGACCTGCCATTAGAAAGACTAGCAAATGCAGTAGGCTCTGGTGGACTTAGTTTATTTATGAGGAAAGATATTTGAGGACTACTGCATCAGAAGTCTTTATGTAAGAAGTAGGACTTCAGGACAAGGAAAGGTTCTTAGAATGGTGAGCATGGGCATCTGGATGGATATCTGCAGTACAGCTGAAGACATTGGGATAGTGACTTTGTTTATGGAACAAGAATCAAGACTAAAGCCAGGTATTTTTATTTCGGTCGTATGCTTTCAGTTCTCTGATTTTTTTTTTTCTTTCAGTTTTTTTCTTCCTTCAAATTTAAAAATCATCTAACTTATTAATCCCCTCCTGAGGTAGGCAAAGGTATACTATTTGTTTTCTCAGGAAATATTTAACAGTCATACAGTCAAAGAATCTTTTTAAACTTTTAGTCAAGTTAGGGAAATTTTGAGTTGCCTCTTCTCTCAGAATATGTCATTTTCCTTGCAGTAAACCTTGGATATTTAGCTGGATTTATGTACATAAGCTAGTAAAGTATGGCATATGGAGTTTATGGTTAAAGAATACTTGTACTTCTTTTTTCCAAATAAAATCGGAAGATTATATGCTTTTACAAACTTCTTCAATAGTGATTAACAGAAGATCATGAAACTTCATACTAGCCTGCAGACCATTCTCTTTCCATCTACTGTCTTATGTCGATACTTTTCCTACTTCTTCAAATAAATGCTGACATCAAAGCAGGACCCTTTGCTCTCTAAGCCATGTGGAATCTGCTTACATTTCTTTAGCTTTTTGCAAATCTATCCTTTTGACAGTGAGTACCTGTTTTAGTTAGATGTCCCTATATTGCATGAATATGAGATACTTAGGATCTATAAACCTTTTTTTAAATTAATATATTTATTTATTTTGTTGTCATTAATCTACAATTACATGAAGAATATTATGTTTACTAGGGTTCCCCCTTCACCAAATCCCCCCACAAACCCCATTACTGTACTGTCCATCAGCGTAGTAAGATGCTGTAGAATCACTACTTGTCTTCTCTGTGTTGCACAGACCTCCCCATGCCCTCCCCACATTATACATGCTAATCATAATGCCCCCTTTCTTTTTCCCCATCCTTACCCCTCCCTTACCTCCCTTTCTCCCCAGTCCCTTTCCCTTTGGTAACTGTTAGTCCATTCTTAGGTTCTATGATTCTGCTGCTGTTTTGTTACTTCAGTCTTTCTTTGTTCCTATAGTCTTTGGGTTTGAGGTGAGTCTCTTGTAAGCAGCATAGAGATGGGTCTTGCTTTTTTATCCATTCTATTGTTCTGTGTCTTTTGATTGGTGCATTCAGTCCATTTACATTTAGGGTGATTATTGAAAGATATGTACTTATTGCCATTGCAGGCTTTAGATTCGTGGTTACCAAAGGTTCAAGGTTAGCTTCTTTAGTATCTTACTGCCTAACTTAGCTCGCTTATTGAGCTGTTATATACACTGTCTGGAGATTCTTTTCTTCTCTCCCTTCTTATTCCTCCTCCTCCATTCTTCATATGTTGTGTGTTTTGTTCTGTGCTCTTTTTAGGGGTGCTCCCATCTAGAGCAGTCCCTGTAGGATGCCCTGTAGAGGTGGTTTGTGGGAAGCAAATTCCCTCAGCTTTTGCTTGTCTGGGAATTGTTTGATCCCACCATCATATTTAAATGATAGTCGTGCTGGATACAGTATCCTTGGTTCAAGGCCCTTCTGTTTCATTGCATTAAGTATATCATGCCATTCTCTTCTGGCCTGTAGGGTTTCTGTTGAGAAGTCTGATGTTAGCCTGATTGGTTTTCCTTTATAGGTGACCTTTTTCTCTCTAGCTGCCTTTAAAACTCTTTCCTTGTCCTTGATCCTTGCCATTTTAATTATTATGTGTCTTGGTGTTGTCCTCCTTGGATCCTTTCTGTTGGGGGTTCTGTATAATTCCATGGTCTGTTCGATTATTTCCTCCCCCAGTTTGGGGAAGTTTTCAGCAATTATTTCTTCAAAGACACTTTCTATCCCTTTTCCTCTTTCTTCCTCTTCTGGTATCCCTATAATACGAATGTTTTTCCTTTTGTATTGGTCACATATTTCTCTTAGTGTTGTTTCATTCCTGGAGATCCTTTTATCTCTCTCTATGTCAGCTTCTATACGTTCCTGTTCTCTGGCTTCTATTCCTTCAATGGCCTCTTGCATCTTATCCATTCTGCTTATAAATCCTTCCAGGGATTGTTTCACTTCTGTGATCTCTTTCCTGACATCTGTGATCTCCTTCCGGACTTCATCCCACTGCTCTTGCATTTTTCTCTGCATCTCATCCCA